AAATATGATTATTCAATAGCATGGGGACCATAAAAGTTATTAGTCGATCGACTTTAGCTGATGGGGCCGACGTGAACAATTTTAAGATAACAAATGTGGATTATTTTGCAGTTAAGATTTCGTAGCCGAACTTTTTTACTTTTAACTGAACTTTAACGACTTGTGCTTTTCTTAATTCTAAACTTTATTTCCAGAAGAATTAGTCTGAGTTCCTATCATAAACTCATGATGTTGTTCTATGTGTGGCAACATTCTATGGAGCTTTCCCTAGCCGCAATTGTTGCAATTCTTTGTTCTACTTTTGTGTATCATTTGTGATCCCTTTGCGATTCGCAAAAGAAAAATCCGTTAAATAAATTCGTTAGAAACAATACGTTACTTAGCCCCAGCTTGCTGTCATAAACCGTAACGTGCGTCTACTGATAAATGTTGAAATGAAATTTTGAAGATAGTGAGACGATTTAAAAGTCGACCTTTCCGAAAGTTTTTCTCGACTTACATTCACTTTCTCCTTTAAGTTGCCATCTACTGGTGAAGCATTTTGAGTTGAAAGTTCCTTTCAATTATTGTTTTTTACAAAAACTTTTGTCCATAAATAAGGAGAGTTTACGTAATACGTAAAAATCATTGGGCCGCCTATCAAGAATATAGATTAACAAAATTCTAGCATTTTCTGAACACACAGGTTTACTGCTATGCTTTGCCATTAAAATTTTATTCTGCTACATATGTATATTAAATTAATTTATGCCGGAAAACACTTCACCTTTGTTAGGTGAAGATATAGCAAGATATAGCAAGAGGCGTATGCGTGTTTTTCCTTGTAGCAGCCTTAAGATAAAAACTAATTATCATCATTTACGTAAATAATGAATTTCGACTTGTGTTGGACTATTTTGCTTATCAGATCAAATCACTATTATATCTGCCATAATACTGGATACAAAAATAATGCGCATTTATGTCAAATATGAAAAATATTTTCTTTTCAAGTTAATAGAGTTGTGATAGACATCTGCATGAAGTTTCCCATCGCATATGCTATTAGTGTTTTAGATGCAAAACGCATTAATTTCCGATTTTTACAATGAGTGTGAAGATATGACTTCTGATTCTCAATCGGTTATGAAATGCGAAAGATGAGACTTGACTTTATACCCACGACCCGGAAACAACCGATCAATCGAGCGAATATCATGCAAAAGGTGAGCTAAGGTCGAAACGTAATAAGCCAAACTCGCTCCAAATATCAAAATGATGTTAACAGTTGTCTTCAATTATCGTGGCGTTGTGCGTGTTATGAATATCTCCCGTCGAACTAAACTGTTATCAAAAGACTAATATTTGAGTTTGGTGATTACTTTGAAGGCAACGAAATAGATTTAAAATAATAAGTGGATAAAAAAAAAAGAAGAAAAATTGGTATACACAGTTATATATGCAATTCTTCTTGCTACAAGCCATTCAAAAACTTTGGTTAGCTTAATCAGTGTTACTCCCCAGTGATGTGTTATTCGCCATTGTTGTATGTTATGTTGTTCTTTTGCTTTCTAGCAAAAGATTTCACTTCACTAGGTTCATGTGCGTGTGCAGTTTGTAGTCGCCATTCATGATCGGAAATCGTAATTCTTCACGAGCGCTGTAGGTGTGATTGTTAATTTAGCATTCACTATGCAATAATTTTATTAATTTTCACGTATTAAATTCGCCTGTAACTCTTTAAATAAAATATAACACGCTAGACCTATAGCTATAAATGCTTCAATTAACTGTTGACTGTAATGTTAAATTAAGTTCAGTATAGGAAGTATAAAAATATATATATGTACATACATGTATATATAAAAATCGTATTTTCCTTTTCTTGCTATAAGACGAAACTATGAGCTCTTGAGCTTGAAAATCAGCTAATTCGCTGCATAGGTTTGTCACTGTTTCCCAAAAAAAAAAAAAAAAAAAAAAAATCTATTACGAGCTTTTGCAAAAACATTATTAGAGGGTCAACTACTCTTTATATACAAGTTTATCATAAATCAATTCCCCGATATTTGGATTTAGCTAATTATGATGGAACTATGATTATTTTACATGCAAAACAAATACACTCTGCTTGATATGAATCTATTTCTAATATTTTAAGTAAATATTCCAACTGATCAAACGAGCCGAACATGTTTTTGTATTAATTTTTCATCGTCCAACAGATATGTTCTAGACTGGAGCTCAACATTTTTTCGATTACCTAATAAGGAATTTTATGGATGGTATAGGTTACAAATGCTTAACATCCTTCTTCTTTTTTTTTTTGTTTTCTTTATATAAAATCTGTGCAAATTCTTCTTGGTTTCAATTCTTGTCTGTCTCTCTCTCTCTCCGTCTTTTGTGTTCGTTTATCATTTATATGTAAGAAATGTTCAATAATAGTTGTATGCCATCAACATATTAAAATGGAATTGGCCGACTTCCAAATTGGATGCATTCAAGCAACTCCTTCAAATCATTTGTTTTTTACATTTCTCTATATATACAGACAACATATACAACTAATCATGTTCAAGTAGTTTAAATGAATTCTTTTTTTTTTTTTTAATGCAAAATTCCCGAAATTTCGTTCCTCATTCTAAGCAGAACATTGAATTTTGGCATTTATACTCACTTATATCTGGCATATCTATCTATCTATCTGCATATATACTATGCATATATACTATGTATATATACTATGTGTGTGTAGTTTAAACAAATGCAACTATATTTACCATTTCATTTATTCATTGTAATAACGGTGTAGATGTGAAAGTATGTGAATGTTCGCGATCTATGCTTGGACATGTGCAACATGAATACGATAAGATAGCTAAGGGCGATTTCAAAAGAGTTAAATCAACAAACCGGAAAATGGTGTAAACATTTTCGCTACATCCTGATTTAACTCATGTTGAAAATTAAATGCAGATTTTTTTTTTTTTCTCTCTTTTTTTTGGTTTTTTTTTTTCTGTTTCATCAGTGTCCATGCTTAGCTGCAAATGTTTGCATACATATCGTTAATGATACTACAAAAAAAAAAAAAAAGAAAAAAAAATTATTGTTGGAACGTTCAGTTGGAATATATTCAGGGTCATTGCCTTTAGCTGTGTTTGTGTTCGCTTAATATTTGTTTATATTGGACAGTCTGATAGAACGTTAAACCCAGCGATAAGGAGGAGCGTTAGTTGATGTATTTGTGAGATTGAATTTTATATATAAATTTTCACCTACTGAAGGTGAAGTGTGCTTCTTAGATTATCTAATTCATTGCGATAACTAATAAAATAATTGCAATATTTTATGGCTATTAGTAAAAATATATAGTTCGAAGCAAGAGGGTACGTTTAAGTTTGTTGACCAAGAATGAATATTTATACCTTACATCGCTGATACTGTATGGCACGTAATAAGTTTACGTGGACATATGTAAAAGGATATAAGGTAGATTGAACTTCCATTATACCGAACGATTCAGAATCGAATTTCTGAATAAAATTAACTTTCGTTTGTTTGTCCGGCCAGCCGATACTTGGCATCCAATTTTAGAAACATTTTCACGAAATTTGATATAATGACATGTTTTCGATGCTATGGAAAGTGGAACGGATTGGAACGGATCATTCCGCAGATAGATCTGTTGGTTGTGCAGATTTCCAATTTCAATATTTCTCGTCGAGAATCATCCACGGACTGAATTGATAATTTTTTCAGCCTTCCCCTTTGCATTCGTTCCCACGAAGCGTAAACCCCAGTCATTTCAACAAGGTCTAAATTTTAATATCTTACCCTGGAAGTTAATCCATTATTGTAATTTGACACGGAAATCAATTATACATAGATAGGTCTTGTTTTCGGACCCTATCCCTTATAACGTTTTCCATGAAAAGTAAGCCTTTATAACAAAGGCACTTTATAACGAAAATCTCTGTCATTAGCTCCTGCAGTGAACGAATGTGTCGATCTCTATTACGATAGTGACAATTTACAATAACAAAACGAATAAATTCATAACTGTAAAAACTTTAAATATAAGCAACGTTGACTGCTGACAATTGGATGAAAGCACTGATGATGGTGATGATGATAACGGTATAAGCTGGCAAATGAATGCTTCGACTATGTTTAATGAACGTCGGCAAACTAAACCATGAAAAATGTTTAAAAACAAAAGACAATAACTATTTAATTGCATTAAGCAATAATAGCAACAACAATAGTACAACTAAAAATTAATAATTGATAAATAATAATAGGATCTTTGGTAATAAAATTCACTTTGCTACACATGGACAATGTTATGGACAACGTTTAATACCCCCTTTCCCGTTACTACTCTTATTATTCATATATGTGAGCATAAGGAGAGACTATGGGACAAATATCGTTTATTAGACTAGGCTTTAACTAAGAGATTAGCACAAGGGTAGAATATCTCGTATCTGAGTTTGACACGCACTAAGGCTCCGAAACAGCAGTCAAGTATACTTTTTACGATATCATCTAAACACGTGAGTAAAATGGCCTTACCGTTGGTGTTTTCATTTTGTTGTTTAGTTTTTCCCGAGTTTGTCTTATCTTCGGCAAAGAAAACTCATATGAATGATTTAACTATTTATTTAAAAAACTTAAAAATATAAATTCAAAACTAGACTTGTATTGTAGCAGTTGACGTTAGTGGAACTTATGATTAAAATTAAAATTAAAAAATCCATATGTTTTTCAGACTTTTTTTTACTTAATTGAAATTAAATGGAAGAGAATGAACTTTATGCTTGCATATGAAATAAAAAATATGGCCACCAAAAAAAACGATTTTTTTTTTTTTTTCATGATTTACAGCAAAATGCTTAAAATTAAATTAAAAGGCTACAGATTAAGCGAATGAATGTTAGCCTAAATATCGTAACAGAGTATATCTTCTAAATATTTACACATACACACACAAACATTAAAAAATTAAGAATTAAACTTCGTTTTTTTTTTTTTTTTTTTTTTTTTTGTATTTATATATATTATACTCAATGACTACAAACATTCTTCGGTTTCTTCTAAAGCGACAGCGACCTGCGATGGTAATTCGATTTCCAATAATTTCGTAAAAGTTTCAGCATCCTCTTCATCAAGATTATCTTTACCGCAATTGCGTTCTTGCATTTCAATATCAAGAGTGCCGTGTTGTCGTTGAAATGAGATTAAAAATATTGTCACCGAAACAATGATGAATAGAAAGGCGGTACCCGAACTTAAAATGATTATAACTGTCGATCGACTAGTACCGTCATTTATACTAACCGGTAAAGCTTTACCAATACCAGATGATGTTTCAGCCGCTAAATTATTATTAAATGTCTGGCCAGCATCACGTGGTGGATAAGTTTCAAATAAAGTGGCAGTGCGTTGATTAATCGCCGTGTTTATCGATCGTGAACCTTTGGCAGTCCTTGACGAATATTCAATATCTAAACTATTTTCGGTTGTACTGCGAATATCGTGAGTGAATAGATCTACACCCAAAGGTGTTATGGCCATGTGTGTACTAATAATTAAAGCATTTTCAGTAGAATGTCGACTCAAATATTCTGTAGTGGATAACCAAAATTTGTCTTTCTCATCTTCTTCCTGCTTTATATTAAACACATTTTCGACTCGTTTATGCTCATCTTGTAACGAATTTACTTTTTTGTTATCTTCATCGAGTTGAGAACTTTCATCCTGAGAACGATTTTCCGGTTCGTCTGATTTCAAATAGCTTTGAGTTTCAGTTAAAGTTTGATGTTCTTTTTCATTTTCATCATATTCGGAGGGGATTATTACTGTTATCTCCTCAGCTTCCGAAATCTCTTTCTCATTAGAATTTAATACGTCACTAGTTGGCGGCCATATCGGTATTTGATCATCGGTATCATTGCTTTTATGAGTTTCAAGTTTCTCTGTACTCAGCAAATGTGACTGATTATCTGAATTAATTTCTAAATTGTTTTGCGAACGATCGGTAAAATCAATATTTTTCAGTTTTTTCTCATTGATGCTATCGTCTTCCTCTGGCCATGATGCAAATTTATTGTACGAATCTTCACCAACACCGGATCCCCATTCGACTTCATTGATATTTTTTTGAACTTCTTCTTGTTCTTCTTCTTCTTCTTCTTGTGATTTTTTCTCTACACTTTCTTGTGCTTTGATTTTTCCCGTTACAAATTCAAGATCGTTTGGTTCATCTGAATAATTGGCATAATTTCCATATTCTTCTTTCTCCTCAAGAGGTAATGTTGTCTCAGCGATTTGTGGCTGCATTTCTAAGATATCTTTCATATCTAAAACTTTCTTAATAACAATATGTTCCGTTTGCTCTGTTGTTAATGTTGTTGCCTCTTCCAGTTCTTGCTGAGCAGCTGAAGCCGCTTCTTCTCGCTCTAAATTTAAAAGATTTTGTTGCTCATCTGGTTCAGGCAAGGACGACGTTAAAGATTCCTCTAACACTACAGAGAGGGAGTCATTTTCCTCTGAGCTCGATTTTTTTGCCTCTAAATGCTCCAACTCAACCATATCCGTGATATGAGTAGTTTTATCCAATCTAATTTCACTGCTATTCTCGGCGATTTGCAAGTAAATATCTGACTTTAAACCTGAACCCTCTACTTCTTCGTCAATTTCTTCTTTATAGGGTTTTATGTCATTATTTTTACTTTGTTCAGTGCTGCTTGCATCATCATCATCATCATCGCGATTCTTTCTTACTTCATCCAATAAGTTAAGCTCTGCAGTGTTTTGCCTGATATTCATTTGTTTGACGCGTTGTCCGAGTTGATGATCTTGCTCTAGATTTGGATTTCGAATCTCTCTGGCATTTTCAAGGGCTTTAAGAGATTCTTTTTCCATTTGTGAAGATAGCTCCTGCGTTAAAATATTCTTTATTGCTGGCTGTGGCTGTGGTATTCGGTTATGATCTACGAAGAAAGAAATTTTGTTAAAGATGCTGCTACTGATTTTTTGAATAAAATATACCGAAAAATATTACCTGATTCGGTTTCAAAACTTCGATTTTTCTCTCTACGCCATTTAACGGTATTTTCATCTAAGATTTTGGGATCTATCCGCAAGTCCTCTTTTAAAATCTCTCGTATTTCTGGTTCGGGTATATCTTTTAATATTTCCAAAACAGGCGATGGCTCCAAGTGTTGCTCCATTTCAATTTCATTTTTTACGGAATTTCTTATAGACTCTTCCAAGTTTTCGGTGAAACTTGCAAATGTCTCCATATGTGTGTTATTAAAATCTGATGATTTCTTATTTCCTGGCCGTTCTTCCAATATACTAAAAATATCATTATCAACATCATCGGCATTCTCCTCCGATGTTTGATTTATATTCTCGGAATAATTTTCTTCAACATGTGGTGGCATTGCATTCACCGCCTGATCTTCGTAGGTAGGTTCGTTTCCACTAATGGTTCGCGTATCGGCAAAATCTCCATTTAACACCAACGTTATCTCATTTACAGAGTTTTCTTTATTGATCGCATGCTCTTCCGTTTCAATTTTGACTTGTCCCTCGATATGCGTTTCGTTATTAATTGTGTTTGTGGCATTCGCTTTTGGTTGTTGCTCTTGCTTTGATCTGATCATGTGTATGTCATCGTTATTCGTTTGAATGGTGGTGAGATCGACTACATTTGTCGTAGTACACTCTTCAAACGAAGAAGAAGTACTGAATGCCGTTGTTAATGTTGTTGTTTCTTCAGCTAATGAAAAATGATCTTAAAATAAAAATTAAACAAAAATTATCGTACATTTAAATGTAGTTGAAATTTTTAAAGACTTGGCCAATATATAGACAAAAAAATGGACACAATAAACGTTATATGGTGAAATATATCGCAATCTATTTAAAATGTAATTTTCTCCAGGAAAATATCCAGCTGTTAACTTGTTCAATTTTACACAAACTGTAGGGGGTATACTGTAAAATATTTGGCAAATGTTTTTATTAAGTGCACGTAGGACAGCGTAAAGCAAAAATATTCTTCATTAGGATGAATAGCCGGAATGGGCCCAGCTTTATCTGTCTGCCTGTCCGGCCCAAGCCAAGAATGCGTTCACAAAACTTTGCCTAGAAAAACGAACTTCATCGCAAATTATTCCTTTCGTGTTAAGACCGAAAACTTAACAAAATTGAACTACGGATCCATCCAAAAAGTGTAAAATTAAGTACATTGGATCTTTCAAATATATCTCGATCTGTCCAAGCTTGTCTTAGCATGAAAGTTCATGTTTTGATCTTTCGTAAAATACATCCCTAATTTTGAAAATGTCTCGTAGTGCATGACGGTACGATAATCTAAATCGGCAGAGATATAACAAACCATTCAGGAAATTTATTTTTAGTGAAGATAGTCTTAAACGCGTCTTGGAATAAAGTAAATTCGTTACAATGAAGTCATTTAGACATTGATTGTGAATTATTTCCTAGGGAGGTGAGAAGCATCTCCTGTTCACTCGTAGAGCAATCTTGATAGGCGAATTGTTGTTAATTAATTAAAGCGGTAGAGATTTTCAACTATGATAAATATTTTAGAGGAGGTCTAGACGCTAGGACATGTGGGTAAATTCACAATGCGTGATTAAATCAGCCATGACATCTTAAACCAAAAAAAAAAAAAAGAAGAAAAGAGGAAATGACAGAAAGTGGCCATCATTACACGATCAAGTTGCATTATACTAAGCTCTAGCGTTCAATAAATGGATTGTGAAACATTTCTGAAATGAATTCTAAATCACCAGTTGAGTTGCCAATAGTAAAACAGTGACGTAGCGTGACAAGGAACGCCGCTTAGATTAATTAAAGTACAGTAAAAATTTTATCGATGGTGTAAACGCATGCATGTACAGCTTTCCACGCTAAACCCTCCTATCTCCTAACGCGCATTCGCAAGAAATAAATATTTAATAACAAGAAAATCGGTCTGCATAAGAGAAAGGATTTGATCTTTCTTTGTAATAAGAAAACCTGGTTCCTTATACTTCGAGGGAAAAAATTTTTCGATCGTTTGGGTTCTCAGCTACGATTAAAGTCTTTTATGTTATTCTTCGTTGTCTATTTATTTATTTTTTATTTATCTACTTATTGACGTCATTAAGGTCTATTATAGTAGATTCCAATGTCTACCATAGTCTATGTGCAACAATTTTAAGATTGCAATCGCTAATAAACATTCAAGGGTGTTACAGTTTCGTCTTGTATGGCTTAGCGCGAAATGTTTTCATTCCATTGCATTTATTTGCGTGTAAGAGGGATTTCGTAATATCTTAGAGGAGTTCAAGTGTATGTACTTGTACATGATAAAACTTAACGCAAAGACATATGTTTTGTTTGTTTGCATTTATTGCGCAGATAATTTGTTTGTATAAAGTAAAGCAGAAAATTTGTATATATATATATATATATATATATATATATATATATATACATATAATGATCATTGTTAACTTTGCTTGAGACATATTCAGTGAAGTGAAACAATGTTTTTTCCTTCCCTTAAAACCGTTATATTAAAATCAATCTAATTATGTCTTTTATTATTGGATTCATCTTAACAGAACGCTAAGCGAACAAAAGTGCCTAAAAAAAATAAAAGAAAAAAAAAAATTAATTGTCTTCTCTTTTACCGCCTTCGTTAGCATTCATGCCAAACATTGATTGAACACCAGATCATGTTCTCTTTGTAAAGTCCGTAATAATTCATTTCAATCTTCCGTAAATTTAGAAAGAAGAAGAAAACATTAATAAGATGAAACTCCTGAGAGATTTCACGCTCTCTTATCAAAAACCACATCCTACCATACCATGATGAGCTATTTTTATCAAAGACTTAAATACATCAACACTTTCATAAGTATATTGACCTCAACCGAGTAGGATCTTGGTTTGACTACATAGTTATAAGTAATAAAAGTATTCTTTTAAATAAATTTTTGAAAAATTTTCTCATTTCTTCGTTCGTTGGGTTAGTTAACTTTAGTTCGGTTTCGTTTGTCTCTCTTTTGTTTTATGTCTGTAATGCTAAGAGTTTTTCTTCAGATATCTTCTTCTTTGTTTCATATTTATTTTCTTTTTCAATTGAATTCTACATTTATTATTGTTGTTCGCTTGCATGCATGATCTATGTGAAAATATATCGGTTGTTCTTTTTGAAACATTGTCTATCGTCTTTGAAATTGTTTCCAGGACATAATATATAAAACTCGTAAATATTCAGTGAATTGAATGTTAAACAATGTCGGCATCTGTTATATCGATTTATCCATTGATGGCTATGATTGACTCATTTTATCTCTCCATTTGCAACGGATGTAAGAATGTTTATGTTCATAATCCGAGAGTGATGCTATAGATTCTTAGAAAGCTTGTTAAGGGCGATTATCATACAATTTTAAACAGATTCCTCCTGTCTGCCTTTATATTTGATAAAGGTGCAAAGAGTTGTGAAATTGCAAATCGGAAATCAAAGGAATCGTAAGCAATCAAGTAAATAACTTAAGGGGTTGAGTCATGTACTTAGCTATGCCTATTTCGGCCAAAGCTCTTGTACTGATTATGGGTATAATTACATATATATATATATATATATGTAATATATATATATTTCCGTTTTGACACTTTTCATTTGAAGTTTAGCGCTATCTACTTATAGTGGTCCTACATCTCTATGTCATCCCACGCAGTTATTGAATCAGTTGTAAGATAGATCGTTTGAAAGTGCCAAAGAAATGTATGAAAATTTGATGACATTTCCAACATTACACGTTACACGTTGTTCTAGTAACCCTACACATGGAATTCAGATTTTTCAATTTCCATTTTCCACTACAAGAGCAAATTATGCGAAAATTCGAAAGCAACTGTAACTGATAAACTAATTTGCATCTCTCGAGCTTATTGACTGATATGCTATATATATATATTTATTTTCCCCTACTACATAGCTATCATCGTAATGAGAATAATTTAAATTCAAAATCAAATGGAATTTCAAGGAAAAGATTTTGCTTCAGTTGTGCTGTTGGGTGTTAAGCATCAAACAACTCGGCTTAGATCAAATATAGTATACATTTTTTATGAAGACAGATGATGGAAAGTGAAATTTGCAAGGTTTTTTCTGTTCCATTGAAAAGTAAAACAAAGTCAAGCAATTATTTTATTTAAGCAGTACTATTAATTATTAATAAAAGCAAAAAGTTGCAATAATAAGTAGTCGAGTAAATAGAGTTTTTACTTTTTTTTAGTTGTTGCGGATTAGTGCTGGGAAAATAAATTAGAAAGCTTTTAATGAGCTCAGAAATGATGGTAGATGCTAACCATTAAGATACCAAGCATTGCAAAGACTTGCTTATGCCCTATACTACTTGTGGATAAATGGTATATAAAATTGTTGCGCGTACATGCAGAACACAGAAGAACTTAAAAGGGATCCAGCTTTTATTATACCGATATCGTTAGACTCATTTTTTGACTTGATTTCAGCTTGTCCGACTCTCCGTCTAAGGTCTGCCCATGTGTTTATATGCTCAATCTACAGGTAACTAAGTTGAGATATTTCACCCGCGCGCATACCTTGGCCCAAGCACGAAGACTATTGAAAATGGAAAAGATCGGAAAATTTTTATTCTCCATTTTCCACATGAACGCACATAAGATAAAGATCTTCATATAAAAAAAAAAGTTGCACCAGCAGAGAAAAAGATTTTGATATACTAAATACATGCAGAAAATTTGGGTCGAATGGGGCCATTTTTGGAACTACCTTTCATAAAAACATTCGCACAAAACGTAAGCTTCTATACGGCAAAAAATTTTTATTTTTAATATTTTAAGGTGAACGTTTATCCAAATAAAATAATTTGATTACAGATTACAAAATAAAAAATTGGACCACATAAGTCTATTTTTAGCAACTCCTTACCATATAAATATTCACCTGAAGAATAAACCTTTTTAAAAGAAAGAAGTCTAACTTATAATATTTTTTTTTTAAATAACGTCAGTTCTAGTCTTTGGGTCACCTCTCTTATAAGGACTAGCAAAAAAAGAATGCTTTTGCATACAAATAAATGAAGAATTTTTGTTACATAAGAGATGAAATGTGTTTAATGGTCGAGCTCGCCCGACTATAATTTTTTCACTTGCTTTTACCTAAGAAACAACAGAGCAACTACACTAACAACATATATGTGAGAAGATGATAAGAAAATTTCTCGGCAACTAAGTTAAGTAGCTAAGAAAGTAGCAGGTTTTTCGTGAGGTTAACTATAAATAAAAAATATATATGTATATAAAAATAAGTGCTTTAAAAACTTGGTTTGGTTTTGTAAAAGGCCGTAAAGGAAATAATTGCTGCCACAAAAAAAAAAAAAATGCGAAAAAATTCAAGGATAAGTCGAGGATTTTTTTTGTTTTGTTTTTTTTTTTGTTATTACAAACACCAGAGGTACATATTATTAGCGCGTGCGAAATGTTGAAATCTGTGTTGCGTAAGCACCGGCACTTTCCAATCAAAGCAACTGGCGTTTAAGTCAGCTTCAACACGTGTTATTGCAACAAATGCAACAAGCAGCACACATTCATAACGCGTGTGCAGAGAAATAGTAAATTGGAGATGACGATATACAGCTGTTTTGTAAACGCTTGTATCAGATCGCGTTCGATTTCCTGGATATGCAGTTGTTTTGCAGTCATTCGCACCGTCAGACCGTTTGGTCTGAGAGACGCCAGAAACGCATTAATAACACCGCGATGCAGATAATCCAATGTTTTCGATGAGGAGAAAGAAGGAGACAATAAAAAGAAACGTATGCAGCGATAAAATACTTAAAAAAAAAAAAATAAAACATAGCAGGGAGCAGTCGTAAACGACCCACTTTTACTTGCGTAAATCCCATTATGCGCCTCTTTTTGAGAGATAAAAAGAAGATCAATTTTTTTAAAGATTTCTTTTCGTGGACTAAGAAAACTTGGAGCAAGAAGAAGAAGAAGCAACTGATTGGTTTAATTAAATTAATCAAAAAAAAGTAGTACGTGTTGAATGTAAGGCTGGAAAGTTTGAGATACTAATTAGAAATAATAAATGAAAGCCTAAGCATCGTTTTCTTTTGCCTTTCTCTTCTTTTACTTATCACTTTCCATATTTCCAATTTAATAGCCTCAGAAATATTGAAGAACTTTCCTGTTTTGCTTTACATAAACTAACGTAATTCATTTTAATTAAAATATCTATACTCGTAACCAAATTATTTTGACGGGAAGCGAGGATGATAGTCGAACAGTGCAATTTTTCCATAAGAGGTTTCGAATTTTCAAGAACTCTTAACTCTTAATAAATCTTTCAAATTTTCTGAATAAAAACCTGATTAGCTTGCGTTCACAAAGATTTTCTTTTAATTTTCCTGAATCTTTCTCCAGTGTTATGTGTTGAAAGCGCGCAGAAAACTTTTCACAATTATGATTACAATTAAACCGTCATATGCTCTAGTAGTCGTCGCTGAACAAAATATTCACCTATGGTTATATCGGCAAACAGTTTCACTATAGTCAGAGATATTTACCTCCTGCTCACTCTGTGTGCGTAGCAGAATGTCCTAAGTAAATATAAAGATGGTGATGGTAAGGAAAAACTTTCTATCCTATAGACAAGAAAGCACTTTTAAGGCAAAAAATCCAAAAAAAATGTAAGAATTACATCAATGCGAATACTTCCTACTGTCACGCTAACTGAAGAGAAAGTCCATTAAATAAAGTTGAAATAGAACGGCGGGGCGTGTATGTCTCTATATATGATTGCTTCTATTAGTATGCTTTTTGTATTCCGCTATTGGGTATAAAATCTGTAAAAATTCTCTTTGTTTTTATTTAGTTCAGAAAGAAAATATTCTAAAGAGAGTAAAAAAAAAAAAAAAAACGACAATAGCTTCTTGAGTTTTTAAATAGTAATCGAAGAAATTCATTCAAAGATAAATTTGCTTTCATTAAGAGAATCTTCGCAGACTTGTCTACTTAAGAAAGAACGGACGAACTGTAGAAAGAACTTATTAGAAACTAATGAAAATTCTGTTCTGATCGAGCTTTGTTCTTGACCGATGTTTTTGTAGTGTACTCTTAGCCATAAATTAAATTCCGTTTATCGTACGCAGTATTCAATACAAACAACAGACAAAAGATTAATCAGTAGCAATAGTCCTGATGGAGGATAATTGTTTCCTTTGTTTTTTTTTTTTTTGCCACACTGTGAATTTTTGAATAGTTATGACAATCAAACAAAAGGCAAGAAGCATTATATTTACATACATACATATATATATATATATATATATATCTAGTGATCCTCTAAAAAACCCCAAGTTCATCATATATAATTCCTCTGCATAATATGTACAATATACATATGTAGGCTTACATACACATACACACGCATATATATATAATATATATAATTTGCGTATGTATGTATGTATCTAATATATACGCGTACATATGTATTGCAAATCTAATGATTCTCTGAAAAGATCCAAGTTCATCATATATATCGCATATAAATCTTCGTATTTCGGAAGAAACTTTGATCTTGTTAAAGGACAACTGGAGATATATACAACGATGCAAACAATCGTATAATGATGAGGAACAAATTTTAAACTGTGACATGCAACAAATATATATTTCACTTAATATTTTCTTTTTTAATTTTTGTTGTTGTTATTTTACTTGTTTGCTTACATATATCGCCTTTAACCATTTTAAGCAATTCTATAGTGAGTGTTGTTGTTGTTGCTTTCTTACACAAGTTTTTAGAAGCGTAAAAAACTAACTACTGGTTAGCTTTTGTGCCTGTCTGTTTGTTTGTCTGTTTATCTGTCTGTCTGTCTGTCTGTCTGTCCGTCCGTCCATCTTTTTTATCTATGTATAGCGTTGTGTTTGTCTGACTGCGTTCGTGTGTCTGCGTTTCTTTTTTTCATTTTTTTTTTTACTTACAAGGTAAAATCAAGACGGCCAATAACATAATAACGAATATTATATGTTGTTGATGTTGTGGTTGTTTAGGCTGAAACCCGGCAAACCTGTTGCATCTTTGTTTTGCAAAAGGTTTATATTTGCAGCTGCTAGCCATTATTTTTGCCATTTGTTCTTCCTTCAATAAATGGAATTGTTGTTTCTGTGTGCTGTCGCGGCTGCTGCTGCTGCTATATATTAATATTAATGACGGTGATAGCGATGATGACGTTGATGCGGTTGTTAATGTTGTTGCGTTGTTGCGTTTGGTTTATAGTTGCGCACACTGCTATTATTGTTGATGTTCCCGAAGAACCTTGCTTAACAGTTAGATTTTATGGATGCCATCCAAGACCAGTCAGTCAGTCAGTTAGTCTTTGATTTTCCAATACCTATATATATATATATATCGTTTCGATTTATGTGCGTAAGTATATGCATATGAACGGATATACATATATATATATATATATATATATATCCGTGAAATATATATGCATATATGTATATATACGTTAACGTATAACACCTGTTTGTGGCAGTGGTATTATTAATTGCAGTGCTTGTGATTTCAAGTTTTTTTTTCTTTTTTGTATCTTCTTTCACTTGTGTTCTCTTAAAAGCATTTGAAATTTCACTTTAAACATTAGAATTTCTATGAATTTTTTAATATTTTCGAAAATTTTTATGCAACACACGTTATGCTTGCGTTAAGGTCTAAGTGCAATTAAAACGAAATGACAAACGGATATCACGGAATGCAAAAACACTTTCATTTTTTTTTTTCTTATTTGCTATTTATCTATTTTACAATTTCTTTAATTTTTTTCTTTATGGTTTTTTTTTCTTTTTTTTTTTTTTGTTTCGTTACCATGTATTCGCATGTGCAGTAATGTGATCCTATTCGTCAGAAAAAAACCCAATTATGTTGCAATGTTTGCATATCAGATATGCTTTCTTCTTGTTGCTGTTTGCTGCATATGTTGTAATACAATGTTTACAAAAGATTTTATTTTTAATTTTTTTATTTTTATTTTTTTTTTTCTTTTTCAATTTAGGATCTTTTTAGCAACCGTGACCGTACAATATCATGTGTTCACTGTCGTTACTTATTCAGAACTGATTGGAGATCTTCGTGTTTGCTTTGCTTCCTTCATTCAAGAACTGCCACTATATACACGTCCAGCATATAAACATTGATCGGCTTTTTGTTGTTATTGTTTTTGTTTCTGTGTTTTCTTTTTTTTTTTTTCGTTTCATTTTTCTTTCAAACGATTCTCTCCTCGAAATTTTTTACTCTCTCTTTACCGATTTATATTCATTACGTTTACTCCGGTATTTACCCATCATTATATTCACAAAGTCCAGAGGCAAAGTTAAATGCTCGCCTGCATATTCTCCATGTGTTCGCGCGTGTATGTGTGTATATGTATCTCTATGATTACGATCCTATAGATATCATTGTGTGTTCCCTAGAAATCCATCATTATTGTCTGTTTAAAGTTGCTATTATTATTGTTTTTGTAATTGCCTTACGGATAAGAATAGGAGCGCTTCTACTTTGTTGTTTAACAAACGATAAGTACCTACTGGTTCTCTACTACACGTACATAAATCCAATCGCTAAGTATTTTATAAGGCAAACGAAAAATATTAGTAAGACATAAAACATTAAAATTTTGAAAAACAAGTTATTTAGAAATTATTCGTTTAAAATTTCTGGTGAAGAATGGACGGATGGAGGATAGTGGTGAAAAGGTTTTAGGAAAGGGGTTTTGTAAAGCATTTAATCGACTAACTATTCGAGCTTATATTCTTTTAAAGGTTATTATTATTATTATTATTTTTGCTCTTGTAATTTTTTTATGTCAAAGAAATAAATCCTAAGATTAAAAAAAAAGGGATGAGCAACTAGCAATTAACTCCATTGCCTCTCCTTGTTTTCTTAAAGCATAGAGTATATGCTTAGTCTAGATATTTTAGTAAAGTTAAACATTTTATTGATATTACGTTCCCCAGATACGAATCAAAAACGAGTCTTTGATCAATGTACAGGTCTTTGGCACTTACAAATTATATATTTAATCGTAAAATCTTGTTCACAATTGCATTTCAAGTGGGGGTAGGTTCTTCTCCTCCAGCACAAAATCTGATTTTGAGATAATCAAGATTGCCTATCTTGACTGTTTATAATTCGTATACGATATAAATCGACCAAAAGAAGCCTGGACGATAGGTGAAAAGGAATGAAACAATAGAACAAAAAAAAAATAAATAAATAAACAAAGCAGAAAAAGATAGGATATGTATTAAGACCACTTAGGAAAATAATGGCAACTTTTGCCTTTTCCTTTGCCTCGTTGCATGTTTCTCTAGTTCTAAGGTGAGTCAAAGTTTTGCTATGATTTCGAAATATCTCATGCTAGGTAGAAACAATCTTCTATTGCTCTTTAAAAGCAGAATATTCTCAACACGTTCTGCATACCGGATTATCATGATATTTTTATTGTTTCTCTAACAATTAACGGCAAAGTTGATCGCTATTAAATCACAAATTATTATGCGATGGTTGTCTTCTATATAATAAAAATCAATCTTGTTATGCTTTACAAACATTTTTCTCTGGCTATTTGTTGGTTGTGCGTACAGTTTTTATTTGATTTTTTTCTTTTGTAATTTTTAGTTTTTGTTTTATTTCTTTTTCTACTTTCCCTACTTATGCATAAGTAAATAATACATGCATATTTATTTATCTTATGATTACCAATACATGTCCACATTTCGGTATACGTATGTCGACGCATATATTAGCATAATAGGAAAGCAACATGAGTTTGTCGAGTATAGTACCAGTAATAATAGTAGTAGTAGTAGTAGTAGTAGTGGTAGTAGTAGTACGTCTTAGTCACTGTCTTTACCTCGCCGTTTTACACTCTCTCTCTCTCGGTTCAGTTAATAATAATAATAATTCCTGGAATTCATATCGATAGAATTCACCATATCTAATGCGATGGTATATTAAGTTTATGCACAAATATGTAACACCGAGTCTTATCACACCGATCGATTTATAGGTCTTTTTCTAAATAATTTAAGTCTGTCTGCCTAATGTTCGTTTAAGTATTATTGGATTCTACTTGCAAGTCACAATTGTTAGGATATTCTTATGAACTTTACTACGGTGACCAGTGCTTTGGCCAAAGAATGAGATGGTTAAGAATGGATTAGATTACACCATATTCACAGCTCCTCTCCTTTTGTCTTGATCAAGAATCTAATATTTTGATATAGTAAGAAAATGTGGAAAATTTAGATACGATTGGAGTATTTTCTGGAGTCCTTTCTTAATGATCGGCTTTACAAAGACTAAACTTTTATATTGCAACGAGAAACGAACTGCGATTTTGTCTATAAACTTACTTTAAAGCGTTTGGACCATATGGATCCGAATTTCACCGATATATATATATATATACATATAATTTTTTTTTTCTTTTCAATATGGACTGTCACTCAAAAGATGTCTCCTATTCGTGTAACACGATGGCGGTTAGAAAGATGTTGTGAAAAACGGGATATAGAGATAGAAAGGAGATGGTCGGAGCCTACTTTTAAAAACGAAATTAAGTAAAATATTTTGAAATATATATACGGTACTTAATTGTCGGCCTTACTTCACTGTAAAGTTTTCATATGTTTTGTATTATGGCAGTTCGTCGTTTGATTCATTCTTAGCCAATTTGTTTCTATCAATAGAATTTAATTATCGACAGCGCAGAGCTACGTCGGTAAAGTACTCTATTGTTACTCGTCGTGCAGTTTATCAATTGAAGGTAATTTCAAACAATGTGCGTATATTTGATAAAGTTATTGTACGCGGACACGCATGCGAATGAGCGAAATTTCATTTCATATGAATTCTCAAATGGATTTGTTTTTATCAATATCTGGCATACACTCAAAGCCTTTACATAAATTTATTTTACACTTTGTCGACATTACAGGTAGATAGCATGTGTGGATGCGTTTATATGTGCATGAGTAGTTGCTAAGTCTACGAAGACCTCTAGACACTAATTGTAATTAAAGGCTAGACTAAGACCAAAGAGCAGGCTAAACTGTATGCATTTGCTGAAAACAACTACGATTCTTCTTATGCTTATCACATACTTTCTACATCCAGAATTTCGGTATTGCAAAATGTACTAATTTTGCTGTTGTCCGTAGCAAAATGCATTTGAAACCTTAAAAGATATATATAAATAATCGGCTCGATATTCTGAATGGATTTATCCATGTTTATTCATCACCATCAAAATTTATTTAGTAAACTGAAAGATGACGCTTATAATCTTGGGTAGATTCCAAGATATACCAGAGTCGATTATTTCAATTTTCTGGACAAGGGAAAGATAAGATTTATCTATTACGTACCTTCATTCTATTGTATAAAATGCAATACACCAAAGGCATCGTAAAAGATGATCCCCACCAAGCGCCTTGTACGTAGATGCTATTTCTACGCTACGTGTACCTTTTCCAGTACACGTTAATAAATATAATAAAATGTGTATATCGTCATTGGTATGTATTCCAAACAGTATTATAACGATATCTACTTGATCACATGCTAGCATGCGGCAGGGAGCAATGTCAAGCCACTCTTTGGTGCGCTTCTTTACGCCCTTGTGGAAGCAACCAAAAATTCGATTCAAAACCTAACAAGTTTTTTGTTTCACAAGTCAGTGCAAACACTCGCACTCGCTTGTTCTTGCCTGCATTGTACACGGATTACTCAAAACTCGCTTCAAGATTCCAAAATGTGCAAGTCTTTGGCGATATAGCCGTATCTCTCTGTCAAAACTTTACGAAAGACAGATAAATCGAGAAACGTATTATTAGATAACTTTTGTGTGTATTGGACACTTTTAGCAATTCATGAAAAAGTCTTTAGCAATAAATTACTTTTTAATCGATAAATTATAAATTATATGAGATTCGAAATTTAAATAGCATTTAAAGTTTTATGAAAAAATAGTTCTAAACAGACTAACGTTGCGTCCTTGATTAACAATAACTTACTTATGTATATATCTTTTTCTTGTTTTAGATATGTCGTACACGTAACTCTTATACATCAATTATTATCCGGTAAGTCTTTTTTAAATTTTATTAAATCTGACCACAACAAAAGCTTGGTTGAATGTTAATTTTTTTTTTAAATTAAGGAAATCAAAATTTTTTGCTGTTAAGTATAAGTTTCCTGCAAAAATCATTAACATTTTAATGAATAATTTTTTTATTTATTTATTCATATCTTTTAAATCAGTTCCTCTTTGAAAAGAATATTTTATAGTTCTTAGGCTCATTGTAATAAATGTAGACATGTACTGTAGTACGCCTGTGTGGCTATCTATCCTGTTTTTTTTTTTTTTTTTTAGTAAAGAAGACAATTTAATTGACATGCGTCAGTACACAATTTTTGTGGCGGTATTTTTTTACAATATAATCGTAACGTTCTTTAATCATTTAAGGCATTACAATAAATTAATGTAATGCGTCATTTATATGTATACAAATATATTAATAACGTCATTGACAATTAGTCAGTAAGCATTCGCATTGAATATTCTTTCAATACAAACACATACATACAAGTTTAACCCCTATCTACATATAGGCGTTGCTATCATAAAATGACTGCCTGGCGTCTTTTAAATGCTTTGCAATAAAATATTCTTACAATAGCCCAGCATTTTTTTTTTTTTTGTGGCGGGCTTGGTTTTGCCTATTATTGGCAGGCAGACAATACATAATTAGTTTGTCTTCTGTTTTTAGATAAGTTCACATTACAAAAAAAAAAAAAATAAATAAATAAACCAATAGTCACCTTTTAAGTTCGAGTTCTTAATATATGTCTCCTAAACTGAATATTTAAACTAAAGGGTGTTCCAAAATTTATCCAAAATT